TGTTCAACTTCTGACCAGTATTGGTGGCTGCTCCCTTACCTGGGCCAGGCACCTTATGATTGTTCCTTTATCCAGTCATCCAGTCATCTAATGTTATCCAGTGCTCAAAGTTGGTGCACTATGAAACGTGAGTTTGTAATTTTATGTTTTTATTAATTTAGTTTGTTTTTAATACATAAAGCACAAGGGAGATTTCGAGGGCTATTCACAAAAGGGTGAAGAGTTTGGAGAAGGCAGAAGAAGTGAACAATCTAGAACAACATAGCTGAAAAGTGAGCTGAATTGGATAATTTTTTCAATTCAGCTAAGTTGTCCTAGATTGTTCACTTCTTCTGCCTTCTCCAAACTCTTCACCCTTTTGTGAATAACCTATTTAGTGTTGTCTCCACCAATTTTGTATTGTCCACAGTGTGCAAATATTACCAAGAAATACCCCTAGACAGTGCTGCTCTCTTACTTTTTTTGCATTACATTGGATTTCCCTTTAATTAAAACCACTGTACAAAATGAGAAAGTATTTATTGTAACATAAAATGCAGACAGTACATTCAAATGGTACATACTGGTACATAAAAGACTCAATATAAGTAACAGAATATATACACACAGTAAAAATATAATTATAATACAGTGTTTAATTGCCAAAATGCAATAATCTGTTTAATTTTATAATGTTTTAACTTGTAAATGGTAAATTTAAACATGCCAATAATTGGTGAAACAAGGGTAACTACAATGCATTTACTAAGGTGCAAACAGTGAATCTTTAAAATTTCATAGAACGAGATGAAGGACTTAACTAGCAGACAGTGGTATATGGGAAACAGCTAGCTCTTATTATATCACACAACTAAAACAATACGACGGTGTGTGGTATAATTGTTTTATTTGATTGAATTGTTTTTGCATTTAAAATGTTCAAAGAATTTTGACTAACAAGACTAATTCAGACTAACAAGGCAGGTTGGATCTGATTGCAGGCTGTATGAGATTTCTTAGCACTGGCAATTTTATAACAACCTTTCTGTGTGTTGGATAGAGTGATGACCCAGCATCATAAGTTGTTGTGTTCCAGGATGACCAGATTGCCAACAAAAGGATAGAGCAGTGGACTGTGACATAAAGTAAAGCCAGGATGAACAAATTAACTACTCAGCAAATAGCTTGTCCACCCTGTATGCATCTCAAGGTTAAAACCTCATTCACACCTATCAAGTAGGTGTGATTTGGTATTCCTGTGGCAAGAACTTGCAATTTCCTGCAGCAGGAATTCCAAATCTTCCATTTACAAGCGGCAGCTGTCACCTGTTCAAGTTAATGATCGGGTGACATTGGCTGTATCTGAAAGCGGCAGAATGCTGACACACCGCATGTAATCATATATGATTTGGAAGATTTGGAATTCCTGCAGCAGGAAATTGCAAGTTCCTGATGCAAGAGTCCCTAATCACACCTACTTGGCACATGTGAACGAGCCCTTCGTTTGAAGTTTTCATCAGTGTGTTGATGTAATTTTGTGTTTTCACCAGTTCTCTTAGACATATTATATATTTCTACAATAGACAAACGTGTGAACGTGTAAAACAGTCCATGTACATTCTATAAGGCCAAAATTATGTGGACCTCCCATCAAATTATTCAGTTCAGTTGTTTCCAGTGAAGGGTACTGGTAATACCGCACCATACAAATAACTTTTTGACAGTTGCGCTCTTACAGCCCTGTGGCAACAGTTTAGAGAAGGCCCTTTTCTGTTCCAGCATGACTGTGTGCCCCAGTGCACAAAGTCAGTTCTATGACATTCCCCATGGCCAGCTCCACAAATGGTTTGATGTTCAAGAACAAGTGTGGCCTAAACCTCAACCCTATTGAACACCTTTGGGATGAATTGCAATGCCAATTGCGAGCTAAGTCTTCTTGTCCAACATCAATACCTGACCCCACAAATGCTGCATTGGCTGAATGGGCACAAATTCCCATAGACACTCCAAAATCGTGTCTTCCTATTGGAGTGGAGGCTGTCATAGCCAAAGGATGTCAATTTCATATATATTCCCAGGATTTTGGAAAGGATCTCATATAGGTGCCATGGTCTACTATCCACAAACTTTGGCCACAATAAGTGCATATTTAGCTATTTGTTTGGAATTTCCCATTGATATTACAGTTAGTACTGCAGTAGTCGTGATGGTGACATAACAACTGACCAGCCACTTGTCTATAGAATTTGATACCTTGGTCTGGACAATTTCTTTGAATACCTCTACATACCGTGCCTTCTATGAATTGCCTGTCCTTTCTCCACCCAAGCATATAAACAGCTTTGTGAGTTATATAATGCATTTGATCAAATTAACATAGATTATCACTGTATCGCTCAAGGTTCCCGTCTGCTAATACTTAATGCACATCTGTCATACACAGACCCGCTCATTGATATTCGAAGAGAGCATGTGACATCATTATGTTGTAAATATCTTCAGAAATTGTAGCTACGGATGATATGCAAATTTGCAGGTTTTCAGCTGTCAATTACATGTAAATTCTAGTCAACTATAGAAAATAATACAATGCGACTGAAAAATAACTATTAAAATATATTCTTCTTTTAAATAAAATCTATATTAAAAAAAAAAAACAGAAATGTCGGTTTCACAATTCAATGGTCTATTCTAGGTAGAATGGAGTGCGGGAATGCTGTACATGTAAATGCACCAAACGTATTGATAATGGAAGTTATTATGATATGACATATGTCTGATTATTCTGAATGGGAACATTGCAAAGGATGCTTATGCAGTCACCGAACATTTAATTTATTAGCTGAAATGAAATGCAGTGACCTACTTAAAATTATTTGAATAGAAACTATATATATA